ACACACACACACACACACACGCACACCGTCAGGTTTAACCACCTTTCTAGCCTGTCTCTTTCATAGTCCAACCAATTAGCTTGGTGCAAAGAGAAATAGAAAAGTTCCTGCAGTGACAAGACATATGTGCAAACAAGCATGCAGAAAGTTTGTTATATTTCACGCAAAGCAATAGAGTTCATAATTTAGAACATGTAGCTATAAAGGCAACAGGAATTTTAGAAAAAATTACAAAGTTACAGTACAGGGGAAAACATGAACAAACATAGAGGTCAGTGTTATGGGAAAAAAATAGCATCTGGTTTGAAAAAATGTAATGATGCTAAAAGTGGAATTTTTAGTTTTGTAGAGTTAAAAAAAAAAAAGAGTTTATCCAATATTCTTCAATTAGGTCATCAGGACAGTTTCTTTTTTTGTGCTGTAACGTTCCTTGTTGACAGTCTTGTCAAACTGGTTGAAAACAACAAAGTCCATGCTGGTTGTTTTCAACCAGTTTGACAAGACTGTAAACAAGGAAGAGGGCCGGCAATGAAGGAGGGGATGTACCAAAGAGACCATCTTATCACAAACAAAACTGGTTTGTTCCACTTTGGAGTAAGCTGTTGGGGGAAGAATCAGTTTTGTGTTGTGTGTTTCCTTGACTGATGAAGCCTTCCGGACCGAAGGCGGAACGTTTCAGCACAAAAAAATAAACTGTCCAGATGACCTGACTGAAGAATGTTGGATTGTATACCTGGATTATTGAGCATGGACTTTGTTAATTAAGAGTTTAGATCAACACCCAAAACAAGTTGCTACATTTGTTAGGATAATGACATTTTAGACTTACCGGTAAATGAAATATGTGCAAAGCTAATGATAATGGAAAGCTAAAAAGGAAAGAAACAAGCATAAGATGCAATGTCCCACACATGCAGAAAGGCCCAGGTTGACAAAGATAAAGGAAGCAGGAAATGTCAGTCAAATAGACAGGAACCAGGACTGGAGACAAATGGTACAATGAATGGGTGGATGCAGATGAAAAGAACAAGTGAAGTGTAATGGTGAAGTGCTGTGAGATGCAAGACTACACCCTTCCATGATCAGAGTGTAGTCTGGATGATTTATTTTGCCTGTCCAATATTGAGTCCATGAAAAAAAAAATCTACATTTTATTAAACTGCTGAGGGTTTAATATTGAAAAAGGAACATTATTGTGGGCGTAGATGTAGCGGAGTGAAAATATGGTCATCAGATGTGACAATCCTTCACCAAAAAGAACATCCATATTTTATTCCGTATCTTTCCATCTTGATTGTATTTTTATATTGTCTAAAAATGTAAAAAATACAAACAAATAGATGCTTCTTAAATAAATATGTTGATTTAGATACAGAAAAGTTTGTTGGATCCATGGAATGCACTCTTAGAGGTAAAGTCGAAATTTAGATATTACAGATATACTGGAAGAAAAGTTTAGCAGAAAACACCATGATAAATTATGAAATTAGTTTTTATAGTTTATAACTCACACTTTTATGAAAGGAAAAAAATGTCAGATTATGCAGTTCCGAAGTGTCAGTTACATTATTAAAAGCTCAAAAACAGTAAACTGAGCAACCATGAGTCTGTATGTTTGTTATATTTTCTAAACTTCTGGTCTTTTTTATTCCACTTTTACTCACAGTTAGAAATGAATTAAAACTTTTTTTTCCTTTGTGAACCATCATAAAAAAAAAAAAA